CTTCTCCCCCTACCCCAGGCTCTCCTGTGTCTATTCCCTACCCTGTGCTCTTTCTTCCCACCCCCATCCCAAACATACCAGTGATCAGCACTTATATATTTAGATTCCTTCCCCCCCAACCCCAATTTGGATGGGTTCTTTTTCTTAGTCTTTTACAATAATGGTCGTATACAGTATTTTCTCCTTTTGTGACTAATTTCACTCAGCATAATGTCCTCAAGGTTCATCCATGTTATGTGATGGCTTGCAGCTTCCTTGTTTTTCTTCAAGGTAGTGTAGTATTCCACTGTGTGTATGTACCACAGTTTGTTTATCCATTCCACAATTGATGGGCATTTTGGTTGTCTCCATTTTTTTTGCTATTGTAATTAGTGCTGCTATGAACATTGGTTCATTCAATAATTTGCCCAGAGCATCTTTCAATAATGAAAGTAGAGGCTTGAATTTTTCTCTTCAGTTCCCCCAGCTTGAGAAATGCTGAGCGTGTTCTTCCTTTTTCATTTTCTGGTTCTAGATCTTTGCACATTTTGTTATAATATTTGGCTTTATCTTCTCGAGCTGATCTTTGAAAATTTCTGCTCATGTCTTGTACCTCCTCATTTCTTCCATTTTCTTTAGCATCTCTATGCTGGAGAGTAAGTTTCAGTGTCTCTTCTGACATCCATTTTGACCTTTTCCTTCTTTCTTGTCTTCTTAATGACTTTTTGCTTTCTTCATGTATAATGTTCTTGATGTCATCCCACATCTCTTCTGGTCTTTGGTCTTCAGTGTTTAATGTACCAAAGATGTTCTTCAGATGATCCTTAAATTCAGGTGGGATATACTCAAGGTCAAATACCTTATGACCACTAGCTATTAGAGAGATGCAAATCAAAACAACAATGTGATGTCATCTCATACCAGCAATAACAGCAAAGATCAAAAAAGTAGAGGACGATAAATGCTGGCAAGGATGTGGAGAGACTGGGGCACTCCTGCATTGCTGGTGGGACTGCAAAATGGTCCAACCACTCTGGAAAGCAATATGACACTTCCTCCGAAGGTTGGAAATAGAAATACCTTATGATCCAGCAATTTCCTCTACTTGGTATTTACCCACAAGAAATACGAGCCATAACACGAGTAGATCTATGCACATCAATGTTCACAGAAGCACTATTTACAATAGCAAAAAGATGGAGAAAGCCTAAGTGCCCATCAATTGAAGAATGGATAAACAAACTGTGGTATATACACACAAGGGAATATTATGCTACCTTGAAGAACAACAAGGAAGCTGAAAGCCACCACATAACATGGATAAATCTTTAGGACATTATGCTGAGTGAAATTAGTCCATCACAAAAGAGAAATACTGCATAGGACCATTATTGCAAAAGATTAAGAAAAAGAACCACACTAAAAGTGGGGAATATTATATATATTTTTTATGATCACCAGGATGTATGGGAGGAGAGGAGGAGAGGGAGGGAGGGGAAGATAGAGCACAGGGTAGGGAATAGACACAAAATAGCTTGGGGGGGGCAATACACAAGAAGGGGGAGGGGAATGTAAGAACAAGGCTGATGGGAGAACAGTTAGGCAGGTTCGCATGGGCTAAGTGGGACAGAGGTAAATTATGATGTATGCACAACCTTGGAACAACAGGGCTCTGGGATACATGGTTTGAAGGGGTAAAAGAGGGGAATAAATGTTAAGATGCTTGCTGTCTTTTGAACCTTGGTTTCCCTTGCCTTCCACTATAAAATAGACATTTGAAGGGGGGTGAAAGGAATAGCCGGAAACATCAATACAGAAAGCTTGTAAGTCCGTCTTCAGCCTATAACTGACTGGAATACATTAAAGGGGGCTAGAAGTTGCCCAGTGAAAGAGGTTTCCTGTGCAGCCTTTACACTGCACAAGACCATAAGTGGAATCCAGAACCCCATCCAGAACCGACTGAGGTAGGAAATTCCCACTGGAAAGGACGAGTAGATCAGCCTGGAGTGGCTAGAAGAAGAAAAGACACTTCTTGAAAGAAAGACTGGCAAGAAAAATCAGAAAAAATAATGGCAGTTTGATTGATTACTACAAGAACAAGTAAGCTGCTTGCCCAGGAGCCATCAAGGCAAGTGGTTGGGACCTCTCAGAACAAACCCTCTTCCAAGACAGACTCAAGGGGAATACATGAGCAGGCATGTGGTCTGGCTGGTCACCGATAAGGGAAAGAGGGGGTGAAAACAGCAATGAAGTTGCAAGCTAAGCCCGACCACATTCAATAGACCTCTGTGGACCCAGGTGGAAACCTGGATGGCCAGCAGTATGGCAAGACCCGGGGACTCCTGGGCCCAGAGGCAGTGACATGGCCACAGAGGACTAGAGTGGAGAGTGAAGCATCCAGCTGATATGAAGTGAGGGGACATACACAAGAACACCCATATTTGCAGATAGTACCTACTTGACCTGGCTTCAATAGCTGGATGAGCAGAGCTCAACTAGGAGAAGAAAGAAGAGGAAAAAAAGAGTAATCTGATACAATCTGATGAACTTTACCTACACTAATGGATGTAGTAGCTCAAAAAAGGGAACAAATCTTTACAGTGAGGCTAACTCCCCCCCCACCCCCTCAGTACACAGGGTTGACAGGGATGGGCAACTTAGACATTGGCTACCCAAAATGGAGGACCTATAAAGGCAAGAAGTGACTGGCTTACAAACTTTCAAGAGGGAGCCTAGTTCCAGATGGGGTGGAGGAAGGTAGAATCACCACTGAATGATTTTCAATCTGTTGGGACTGGGCTGGTGAAAGGAAATGGGGATAAGACTCTTGTGGTACAATAGTGAATAACTGTCATCAGGACTGACTGTGAGGGTAAGAAATATAGTGGTAAATGTTTTTTGACAAAAGGAGGAGATTTTGCAGCCCAGGCGCGGAGGTCCCTGGGACCATCAAGTGAGAAGACCGGAGAGCGGGACCATACCAAGAGAGGCAGTGACGCCAGGGATGGAGACGGAGACAATGACGTGGACAGATGAAGCGGCTGGGGACACTGGACTCAGGGAGGGAGAAAGGCTGTGTGTGCTGGCGGCTGGGGTGCGGGCCTGTGTGGTGTACCCTTTGGTTATTTGATGATGCACAGAGGGGGTTGTAATCATTGCAATCAAATGAAATATGATAGGATGAGTGTAAAGCTGATCCTCTCCCATGTAAACCTCACAATAAAAACTTAAAAAAAAAGAGTAAACTGGGGCCAAACAGAGGCTGTAAGGAGAAAAAAAAACAGTCTTGCAAGATTTCAAAATGTACTATACAGTTACAATAATTAAAATAGCATGGTATTGCTGCAGTTTCAAAAACAGAGTTCAGAAAGAAATTCACCTACCTTGTCTTATACTAAATTCTTATGTATATAAGAATTGAGTATGTAAAAGTAGAGTATGGTAAGGATGGATAGTCAATAAATGGTTTTTAAACAATGGGCTATTTCATTTGGAAAAAGGAAAAAATAACATTTGAGTTCCATGCCATACTGTAAAAAGTATGAAATACATATTTAGGTACATTAAATAAATAAATGTTAAAAAGACAGCAATGCCTGTGATATAAACCAATATGAACAAATACTTTTGTAATGTTAAATTAGGGAAGACATTGCTAAGTTTGACATAAACTCACACACCGAGTAAGAAACAACAGAGTGACTTCAACCTCATATCTCTGAGGACTTAGCCTTTAAGCTGTCAGGTGGCATAATACTACAAATTGACTGTATTATGCTTTTAGAATATTTTACCTTATGAAATCACTCAGGTAATAAAAATGATTACATTTTTGAAGTTATAAAAAATAATATATGCTCATAATAAAAGCTCAAACAGTACAGATTCACTAGGGGCAACCAATATTAACACCATCTTATGCATCCATTCAAATACTAAAAAGGACTGTACAGGTATGTGTCGCTTAATGCCCATAATATGTTCTGTGATGCTATGTGATTTGGAATGTACGAATACGAGATGAAAAGCTTTTGAAAGCCCGCTTCAAGTTGTCCTGGTCATCACTGTTACTGCTCGGGCTGCTGGGGGAAAGGACAGTGACAGCAGTGGCAGCTGAGTGGAACAAGGGGAAGCTGGTGGCAAGGGAACAGAGCATACTCAACCCCAGCTGTTGTTCTGCCCACGGGCCTGGCCTGCCCAAGCTCAGAGCCTTATCTTCTGCCTCACCTGCCTCCATCCCATCCATGGTCTCATGCTATAAGAGTCTGAGTTCAGGGTCTTTAAAAACATTTTTGTTGTTGCTACGTGCTGTCAAGGCAGTTCTGACTCAGTATAGGGTTTCCGAGGTGAGTTCGAACCCCTCACCCTGTGGTCCAGTGCTTATTCTACAGTGCCATGCCAAGACTCCTTAAAACGATTAGGGGATATTATAAACCAAAGGATGTATATGCAGCTAGATGCTACCCAAAAAGACTTAATCAATGCATGTTGCTGCTGTTGTTAAGCACCATCAAGTAGGTTCCGACTCTTAGCTACCCTGTCTCATAGCTTCCAAGACTGTAAATCTTGGGGACATGGGTGTGTGTGTGGCAGGGGCAGAAAGCCTTATCAATGCATTCCTGTATTTAAAGCACTGCTTTATGCCCTTTCCCCTTTCCCTTAGATATTCAAGAATAAAAACGTTTATTAGTAGTATTGACTAATACATAGAGCAGATCTTTTTTATTGATGAAACACATAAAAAATATGCTATGTTTAAATATCTACATCGTGGTAATCAATATTGACCTAGAATGAAGTTGATGGTCAAATAACAATATGTTGGAGTCACCAGCATTAGGCAATCAGAAGAAAAGAACTTATTCTCTCCCAAATAACTTAACACTAAACTACACCTTAGCAAGAATCTAGCTCAATACCTTAGTCTTTTGCATTTTCCTTATAAGATTTGATAAATTTTTAAGGAAACTGAAGAAAAACATGCTACTACAATTGGTTTTTCCCACTGGAAGGATACTTACCACATTCTGCTTTGTTGTTTCCTCTAGTGTCTGTATCACATACAACCTATTCCGACAGCGCAAGCTGTATATATCTTCAGAGCGAATATTACCATATTTCTGAAAGAAATACCACAGTGGATCCTCATTCATAATAAACCTCCACTTCTGCTATTATAGTTGAATTTCATCAGATTCAATTCTCAGAGGCTTTGGTTCTATTTCTAGCTATTTTCTTGACTTGTTCAGTGATTATGCAAATTTTCACCTCCCACGGTTCAGCTTTTCTATATATTCACTGGAGAGAATTCCATCTACTACGTGTCTGGACTAAGTACAAGAACACTGGTAAAATTTTTAGTCTCTAAGGAGAGAATAATTCTCACCTTTTGATATGTTGTTAAGTGCCGGAGTCGGTTCTGACCCATGGCGACCCTGTATAGGGTTACCGAGGAGTGGCTGGTGAGCCTGAACAGCCGACCTTGTGGTTCAAACCGACCTTTCAGTCCAGAGCATTAACTCCCAGCACCCCACCAGGACTCTAGCCAATATAGTATCATTTAATGAAAAGCCAAATGAGGCAGAGGAGGTTTTAACATCTAGGAAGAGCTCACAGAACTCATTTTTAAAGTGAACTTGCATTTTAAATGATGTCCTCCATTATCATCTGACTTTTAATACATCATTAGAAATGATACCTCTTCTGGAGTCCTGGTATGGTGCTGTAGGATAAGCACAGGACTGCTAATCACAAGGTTGGTGATTCAAATTTACCAGCCGCTCCTTGGAAACCCTATACAGGATCTTTATGACTCAGAATTAACTCCATGGCATTTAACAGCAACAAGATATAATTACAATAGCAGCCATTTAAAATATGGTATAAACCCTATGTATGGTAGCTAAGGGTTGGAACCAACTCGACGGCACTTAACAACAACGTATCTATTAAGGGCCCTGGTGGCACAATAGTTAAGCACTCAGCTGCCAACCAGAAGGTGGGTGGTTCAAATCCACCAGCTGCTCTGCTGGATAAAGATAAGGCAGCCTGCTTCCATAAAGATTTACAGTCTCACAAATCCTACGGGACAGTTTTACTCTGGCCTACAGGGTTGCTATAGGTCAAAACGGACTCAATGACAATAGGTTTGGAATGGAATTTAGGTATTTATAACACACAAAAAAACTCACCTCATTTGACTCTTTAATCAAATCTGTAATATCCACTCTAATATGACTGTTTTTTTCATCATTCATATTTGAACCTTGTTGAACACTTGAAGGCAGTGGGCTATCCTTATTAGTGACATTGTCAAAGAACCTATCCAAAAGTGATATTAATACAATAATTAGTGGGAACAAAATTATTAAATCCTAGAAAATGGCAACGAATTTCCCCTCTAGTAAGTTAGCGGTTAATTTTAATTGAAAGGACAAAGGGTAGGTGTCTTATGTAGAAGTTGTATTTGAGGATGGTTGGGAATTAGGAGGACACAGGTAATAGGAATGGAACAGAAATCATTTCAGGAGAGAGGTGAGCATGAGGAGAGTAACCAGGCTCAGCGTGCACTTAGCAAATGCCACATAGCACTGTCAGAATGAAATACAGTGCACCAGAGCCATGTAAGAACACAAAAAGTCCAGAAAAGTACAAAGGCTTTAATACAGAGACTTTTGAGTACAAGAATGTAAGTTTGTCTTTTATTCTGTACATGATGAAATTAGATGCACCATTACAACAGTCACTTTGTATTAGTTCAAATATGAATTCATTTAACATATGCATACACACATACTGTGCTCCAATACAAAATTAAACTCAACAAACAAACAAACTACTAGGAACATAAAGTTCAATCTAACTGACTGAAACCACAACAATTTCCCCAAGTGAACATTTCACACTATCAACTCCCTTTTGTCCCCTCATATTTAGTTGATGGAGTCCTGGTGTGGTGCTATGGGTTAATGCACTGGACTGCAAGGTCGGTTTGAACCACAAGATCAGCGGTTCTAACTCAGCAGCCGCTCCTTGGAAATCCTATACAGGGTTGCTGAATCAGAACCAACTTGATGGCATTTAACAACAACAATTAAGTTTATACAGAGGCACTCCATGTCTAAAACTGGGACTATGACTGCACCAGCACACCAAATCAACACTATTAGTATAAAAGGCCAATAATCCAGTGATTTACTTCAAAATGATATACTTTGTTATATTCTACTTGAGCATAGAAGAAAAGACTATAGATTTAGCTCTCCCATTCAACTATCTTTGTGACCTTGGGCAAACTGTTTGAAATTTCTAGGGCTCAGTGTTCTCATCTGTAAAACAAGGGAGTTGATGAACATCATCTCTGTTCCCCTCCAGACTGAAATGCTATGGTTCTTACAGTACCTGTTTAAGGCTGTCACAGCTTCAGCATCATCTTTACAGGCCATCAATCTGTCTAAATTATAGTCAAGTATTGCCAATCCTAATTGTAAAATGGCTTTTATTCCATCATAGAAGAAGCAGTCCACCACATTCACTGCACTCTCTATAGGTAACACACTAATAAAAAGTGTGAGAAACCATGAGAGAGAAACCGAGGAAAAGAATGTCATATCAGTCATGTGTTCTGTCAGCTGAGGAAGGTGATCCCTGATAAGTTCTTCAAAGACCGCCTGATCCACCAAGGCACCTGAAGAGTTATCGAAAAGAAGTTGAAAAATGAACACCTTTCAAAATAAATTATTTACTTTACTTCCTACTTCTCTAAAAACCAACCAACTAGCCAACCAAACACACTACTGGTGAGTTGATTCAGAGTCATAGTGACCCTCTAAGACAGAGTAAAACTGTCCCAGAGGGTTTCCAAAGTTGTCAATCTTTACTGAAGCAGACTGTCTCATCTTTCCCCCACTGGTGGGTTCTAACCAAAGACCTTATGGTTAGCAGCCCAATGACTTACCCACTGTGCCACCAGGGTTCTTCTACTTTTATTACTGTACAGACATATCTTATGTCTTTTTCTGAAAGTGTGAATTCCTTCAGTGCCTTTTCTATATTTCATACAGCTTATAGTACTGCATTGCTAACCACCAGGTCAGTGGTTCAAACCCACCAGCCACTCCTCGGAAACCCTATACAGCAGGGGTGAGGAACGTCCCCACCTGTGGACCGTGTAAGGCCCTTGAAATCATTTGGTCTGGCCCTGCCAAGGCAACTGCAGATCCAGCCATCACGTTGTTGTTGTTGTTAAGTGCCGTCGAGTCGATTCCGACCCATAATGACCCTGTATAGGGTTTCTGAGGAGCGGCTGGTGAGCTTGAGCCGCCGATCTTGCAGCTCAAAAGATTTTGCAGTCTGATACATTAGCCCACAGCACCATCACCTTTGTTGTTGTTTTTGTGAAGTGGTGTCGAATCGGTTCCTACACATAGAGACCCTGTATAGGGTTTCCAAGGAGCAGCTGGTGAGTTTGAACCGCCGACCTTGCAGTTCAAACCGCATTGCAGTCTGGCACATTAACCCACAGCGCCACACCAGGACTCCTTAGAGATGAGTTAATTAAATGTTTGGCCAAATATAGCAGGTTCATTTTTAAGTTGATAATTTGGTACGGCCTGCAAATGATGCTATAAATACCCAAATGGCCCTTGGCAGCAAAAAGGTTCCTTACCCCTATTATACAAGATTGCTATGAGTCAGAACTGACTTGAGGGCACTTAACAACAACATCATCATCAAAGCTGCTTTGGAGTCCTGGTGCAGTACTGTAGAATAAGCACTGGGCTGCTAACCACAAGGTCAGCAATTCAAACTCACCAGCTGCTCTTTGGAAACCCAAAACAGGGTTGCTATGAGTCAGAACCAACTTGACAGTACTAAGAGCAACAGCATAGCTGCTGTTCAAGTGCCATGAATCAAGAAGCAAGCACTTGAGACATGCAATGCATATTCATTTCAGAAACTCTCTCTCTATAAGTCTTTATCTGTATAGAGATCTAGGCGCTCCAGGAGGTATACCAATTAATGACATGCCTCATCTTAAAAGAGTTTAATATCTAGTACAACTTACAATAAATACACAAATAACTGTAACAAAAGAAAGGATACAATAAATGACATAATCAAGACATTGACGGCTTATCAAGAGAGCTTTGAGGTAGGGGATTATAGATCTATAAACATTTGATGACTGAAGAAAATTTTACACAGTTAACAAGTCAAGAACTTGATCCTTCTTTCTGATTTTGCAATTATTTATATCATTCATATAAATGTGGGAAGTTTTAAGTTGATCAAGTACATAAAGAAACTACTAAAAATCTTCCAGGAGGTCTAGAAACTTCAGATAGATCATCATTGTTTTAGCAATACCAAAACCAAATACACTGTCATCAAGTCAATTCTGACTCATAACAATCCCTGTATAGGGTTTTTGAGACTATAAATATTTATGGGAGCAGATAACCTTATCCTTTTCCCACAGATCAGCTTGTGGGTTTGAACCTCTGACTTTATGGTTAGCAGCCCAACGCCTAGCCCACAGTGCCAACAGGGCTGCTTCCTTTTTAGCAATACAGGAATGCTGTTGTTGTTAAGTGCCATCAAATAAGTTACGATTCATAGTGACCGTATATAGGGTTTTGAAGAGTGGCTAGTGGGTTTGAATCACTGATGCTGCAGATTGCAGTCCAATGCTTATCCTTAGCAATACACTAGAACTTAATACAGGAATAGTAAGCTTAAAACTTCAATTTTGTGAAGAAAAATCAGGGATGGTATTTAAAAAATACATTAAACAATCTTTACAAGCATGTTGTTGTTGTTACGTGCCATTGAGTCGGTACCGACCCATAGTGACCTTATGCACAGCAGAACGAAACACTGCCCGATCCTGGGCCAACCTCACCACTGTTGCCACGCTTCAGTCCATCAATGCTGTCACTTGGCCAATAAATCTCATTGGGGGTCTTCCTCTTTTTCTCTGACTCTCCACCTTACCAAACATGATATCCTTCTCCAGCGACTGCTCCCTCCTGACAATATGTCCAAAGTATGAGAGAGGAAATTTGGCCATCTTGGCCTCTAAGGAGCACTCTGGCTGCACTTCGCCCAAAACGGATCTATTGGTTCTTTTGGCACTTCATGGCACTTTCAACATTCTCCTACAACACCATAACTCAAAAGCATCAATTCTTTTACGGTCTTCCTTATTAGCTGTTCAGCTTTTGCATGCATATGAGGTTATTGAAAATACCACATGATTTGGGTCAGGTGCACCTTAGTCCTCAAGCTGACATCTTTGCTCCTCAACACTTTAAAAATGTCTTGTGCAGCACATTTGCCCAATGCAATACATCGTTTGATTTCTTGACTGCTGCTTCCGTGAGTGTTGATAGTTGATCCAAAAAGAATGAAGTCCTTGACAACTTCAAACTTTTCTCCGTGGATAAGAATGTTGTTTCTTGGTCCAGTGGTGAGGATTTTTTTTTTTACATTGAGATGGAATCCATACCGAAGGCTGTGCTCTTTGATCTTCATTAGTAAATGTTTTAAGTCCTCTTCACTTTCAGCAAGCAAGGTAGTATCATCTGCATATCGCAGGTTGTTAATGAGTCTTCCTCCAATCCTGATGCCACAT